GGGGGGCGGGGGTCTAGTAACCGGGGCTGCGTCTCGCCGCCATTTTTGTTAAAGGCAAAGGAAGCTCAATGGCAGATGCGGCCATGATGGAATCAGGCCCGTTGAAGTCGTGAGGAGCCATTTTACATCCGGGCAGCTTCACACTGGGAGCGGGCGTCCGTGTTGGAAATCGGTCTGGTGAAGCGCTGGCGGGCGCCATTTTGGATACTGGCAGCGCTGTTGCCTCCTCCCTCCCCTCCTGTAGGTGGGCACAGTGGAAACGGGCTGATGGGGCTGGGACAGTCACCATCTTTAATCTTGGCACCTCGGTCTTTTCGTCTTCCATTTTGGAATCGGGCAGCCTGGAGCAATCACAGGAGGCCATCTTGACTGCTGGCAGTACTGGCCTGGCCCTGTCTTTCTGGGGTAACCTCAGTGTCATGAGGGTGGCTGGTGCTGGCCCAAGGGCTAAAGGGGCTGGGAGATTTAAGGGGGCAGCGTTGAGGGGGAAGTTGTTGATAGAGATCAGGGGTGCAGGGAAGCATAGGGGTCTGCCTGGGGGCTTGGTGGGTCAGAAAGGGAGGCTGAGGTGCTGGTGTCCTAACCTGGCATGGGAAACTGGCTCCCACAAGGTGTCAGCTGCTCCTTGCCCCAGTGCCCAGTCTGAGGGCAGCACTGGCCCCCTAGTGATACTGAAAACAAGAGTGTAGTGCCCACACTGCCAACCCGAGTGCTCAAAATGTCCAGGCTGCCCCAGAAACCATGAGATTTTTCTTTTTAAAATAATTCTTTGGGGTTGTTGGTGTCCGCGCCTTTAGAGTGCACTGGCTTCATGTTTTCAGGCTTTACTCAGTAGCCCCAAGGGCTAGACACTACTGTTTGAAATTAAAGCCTGAATTCTGTTGTAATCATAAGAATCTAGGTGTCTTTCAGAAAACTCCCAGTGCAAGACAAGAGGTGAAAGTAAGGCTGGGCTGGGCCACTTGGGATGCTTCCATTCTGCTGCAGGCTGTGCTGGTGACAGCAGCCAGGTGGCGTAGGCAGCAGGCTAAAGGGGCCAGCAGACCAGGGACCTGTGGCAGAGCAGCTGGGGAAGGAATGCCCCACCCCCAGCCTAAAACTAGCCCATCCTCCAACTGGCTGGACTCACTGGGCCTTAGCTCGGACTGTGCTACAGTCAGTGCAGACCCTACCTGGCTCCTGTCGCAGCAGCCCAGCCTGATCCAGCTGCAGGGGGCTAACCCGATCCAGCTGCAGGGGGCTAGCCCCGGCCCCCAGCCAGCCTCACTCCAGGCACAGCCTGACTCTGGCGGTGCTCCTGTCGTCACAGTAAGGGAGGGGGAATTGGCCCGCATCCAGCCACAGCAGCCTGTCACCAGCTCCGATCCTGGAGTGGGAGGGCCTGGCGGTGGCCCCCATCTAGCTGTGGCAGCCTGACACAGTCCCAGTCCTGCCATGGCAGGGGGAGCAGAATTTGCGAAACTGGCCTGGCCTCCAGCCAGCCACCATGGTCTCGATCCTGGGGTAGACCCTGGGCCTGGCCCCATCTGCAGCAGGAGAGAAAGGCAGGGGCCCCCCATCTGGCCCCATCAGCCTGGCCTCAGCCCCAATTCTTTAGGAGATACCAACATCCCAGCCTCTATCCGGCCACAGTAGTGCTCCCATATAGCTCTAAGTTGTGGCCATGGCAGAGTCAGTAAACAGGAGCATTGAGGCAGGTACACCAGACAGGTAAGGTAAC